TTAAGAAAACTATTACTATTTAATGACATATTTACTTCTGCCTAGGGTTTGTGTTCGTTCTCGTTGTTGGGACGCATGTATGGTGGTGGATGGAGGAACTTCTTTTGAGTTTAATGATGGAGCAATTGCTTCGATGATGATCAATAAAGAAGATGAGCTTCGAACTGTGATTCTAGAACAGTGAAGGATTTCCTCATATGACAAATGTTGATTACTGGAAAAATATTTTTAAAGCAGAAACAGACTACCAGTCATAAAGCTACATTTTTCGATTATTTTTGGACTGGTCGCCCCGTGTTCAAAGGTGACGAAGAAAGTGAGATTTATCTTATTTTGCTGTTATATTCAGATAGAAAAGAGAAGTTACTATGTATGTAAGAAAATGGATGGACTAAACTGATTAGAATTGATACCAGTGAAATTTCTGTATTGCTTGCAATGGGTAACCAAGAGTGCTGATATCTTTTTAAATATAGAGGGGCAGGCTTAAATAAAGGATTATATGTTTAGGATTTGAAATTTAACTGTATAAGTGTTTTTTCCTTCCCTTTCCTCCTAACATTGTGGAATTGTCAAACCAAACACATATCATTTGACTAGTGCATATTTTTTATAGTACCTAAAAATCAAGATTTTAAAAAATTTTGATGGAGAATTTTGATAAATTCTGACATTGACCTAATTGAAATAGGTAAATGTGTTTTTATATGTGCTATGAATTTTCTAATTTCAGAATACAGTGATGTTATGACTCTATTGATTTAAGTATTTAAAACAATCATTTTTGAAATTATTTGTAGATGAATGTTTTCATTTGACATTTATTCTGGTTAATTTCCACTATGGATGAAATACATGTATCAGAACAAAATCATGATGCTGTTACAAATGTATTATCCAGTTAATACAGCTGCTTTAGGGTCAATTTTTAAAAAATGATTTGAGTCTACTAGGTTTTTTCCAGCTTTAAAACTCTTTTAACATGGATTCAAGGCCTAAAAGGATGAACTGATTAAACATTTTATATTAGGAGTTTGTTAAAACCTTAAAAAATATTTTTATCCAGTGTTGGGAATATTGTCCGAAAGAGAATGGATGCTTTAGTAAATATGTAAAACATAGTAGTTTTGGAATTGCCTTACTCAGTAATTATGGTGGTTTCACTTAGCTTATATTCCAAGTTTTACATAATAGCTTTATGGGATAAAATGTTATTATGGCTTTTCTTTTTTCCCCATTATGAGAATTCCTTTATTTTTGGAGAAAATTATTTTTTATCTAATTCTTGATCTACTTATAATAGTAACCTTAGAATTTTTTGCAAAAAGCTATTGTTGCATAATGAAACACTAGGTATTCTCATGCCATTTATTCCAAATCATGTGTTGTTTTTTCACTTGCTGGTGAAAATTTTTGTTCCATCATTGACAAATATTTAACACCCACTCTGTGCCATATACTACTGTATCAAGTGCCGGATGCACATTGTATGAAACAGATTCTGTCGTTATAAAATTTGAGTCTAGTGAGCTCAAAAGTAAATTCTGTGAAAGCTAGGATGGGTAGTCAAATCGAGTGCTCTTAGTTTTGCCAACATTTAACATGTTATCAACTTTTTTTTAATAAATGTTAGTGTACAAAGGTAATCTAGGTTTTGATGTATATCCAGAAGAATCAGTTTTTCTTTTGTAGTTAAGAGTATATATGTAGACACTCACAGCAAAAAATTCCCATGCTGCATTAGATAGAAATAAAATAAAAATAATGTTTTCCCAGAGCTGGATCTAGTTTCTGGCTTGATTTTTTTTTTTAAGGAGATGTGGAGATATATATATATATATATCTCACTTTATAAAAAAGTAAAATTCTAAACTACAGAAACTTACCTGACGGATATAAAATACCTCCTTGAAAAAAATGCCAACTCCATCTTTAATCTCCAGAAAATCTATTTGTCCAAGTGCTACCATAGATCTGTTAATATGTAACATATTAATAAGTAACCTGCTGTGTACAATTGTTCATAAACTGTATTATTTTAAAAGGTTTTAAAAATACTTAATGTGTTCAAGTTGCAATATAATTTCTAACATTTCTGCTCTGTGGTGGGATTAATTTGTAAGAAATGAGAACCAAATGATGTTAGAATAGCTAAAGTGTTTTTATGAATGAGTTAACCTTTTAATGGCAACTATGTGAATAAAATTAAACCATTGTTATGTCTTCTTTTTAACCTCATTTCTTATTTCCATAACTGTCATGGGGTAATTATTTGATAACCCTGTTTTTTCCCAACATGTTTTAAAAGTCTTTCCCCCACTGCTATGTATTAATATTATTATGTGACCTGTTGACTACATTCACTTCTAACATTTGACACACAGTGATTTGTTATTTAATCAGCAAAGTGCTTACCTGGTAAATGTAGACTCTTACAGATAATTTTGACTTTATATTTTTTGATACTCCATATATATTTATATTCATGGCCACAGTACAGCAAATCATAATACATGTTTTACTAAATGTATAGCCTTAACATACAAAAATTTACATTGATTTTGCTTTTTAAATAAGCAGAAGAGCCAGTTAACACATGATTTTTATTGAAATATATTCACTAGAGTTGAAAAACTTGTCAAATATAAGTTTAGGGATACATTATATATTGCTCAGATGTGAAAATAATGTAAATTTAGAATTTAAATCACTAAAAAAGTTCAACCCATTGTGCCAATGTAAGCTATGCATCCGTATACTTAAGGATAACTACCAAGGCAATTGTACAAAAGATTCAAGGGATAATGTTACACCTAAATAATATCATGAAATAAATATATATACTGTTGGTGGGGGATAAATGTACTGCTGAACTAAATAATAGTTCAATTTTATTTTTTCAAATGCAGTTTATTCTTTAACATTAAAAATACTCATGAGGGATTAAGATATAAGTCAGTGAAAATACTAAGTTCTCTAAGGAAGGTAATGAGTTTTCAGTCTTAGCTTTAAGACACATTTTAAAGAAGATTACTGACTAAACAAGGAGGAGCTAAATATTAATAGAAATAGGAAAGAATATTTTAAGTATTAATTTGAATACCTTAAATATAGTGATTTTAATGTTTAAAACTGCAATTTTGATATTTTGAGAAATATAAAAAAATATCAACATCTAAATATTTCTGTTCACTAAAATGTAAAAATTATTAAGGCAAAGCAAGTCCATAAAATAAGTTTAGTACAGACTTTTAGGGCTTTGACCCATATCTTGAAGAGTTAGTCTCTTGGTGAAGAGACCTTTTGACTTCCTGAGATATTTGGCTAGGTGGGAAAGAAGAGTGGTAAGAGGAGTTTGCCTTTTTGCTTGCTGCAGGCATAGGGTACCCAGTGACAAAGGGTTCGTTCCTTCCTTTGCCCAGTCCCTAGACTACTTGCCTTTCCTCATATGCTCTGTGCCTTCTCTTGTGCTATTACTCACACATAGAATCCTCCACATTGTGGATGGTCAATAAATGCTGAATTGCAATTGCGTTCACCAGGATAGAAGGAACACAAGGACTTTATCCAGAAATAAAAGTGTGTACTTAGCCAGTGTGTGGACAGGGTATAGGAGAGTGAGGAATCAAGGTCCAAGAGAGGGTAAAGTGATAGCAGTGAAAATGAAAATGGAGACTGATGCTAACATCATAAAAAGAAAGCCACATGGAACATCTCTTGATAGAAGAACATAATGCTACTTATCAAATATCTCCTTGCTAAAAGAACTTGATGACACAACCCTCTAGAGCAGGATTTCTCATTGCTGGCATTATTGACATTTTGGACCAGAGAATTCTCTGCTGAGGGGGGCTTTCCTGTGCTTTAGGATGATTAGCAGCAGCACCGTAGCTTCTACTGGCTAGAAGCCAGTAGCACCTCTCTTCTTGTGGCAACCAAAAATATCATCTGGGGGGCCCCAAATCACCCTCGGTCTAGAGCTTTTTGGTGCTAGATGTAACTACCAGTTTATGGAAATACGGGACAGAGATTAACCCGTTAAGTGTCACTCTAGTGATGGCATCAGCAAAATCCAGGATGTGGAAAAGTATCAATGACCCAGTTTTTTAAATAAATAAATTGCAAGGGGAAAAAAGGGAAGGAATCCAAAGATTAAGATTTAGAGACTATCAATCAAATGCAATGTGTGGACCATGTGAAAAAACCATTGGAGACAACTGAGGAATTTTCAACACTATCCTGATATTTAATGCTTCAGAATTAATTCAGGAGAAGCACTGTGTTTCAGAGGTATACATTGAAATTATTTGTGAAATTACAGGTCTGGGTTTTGCTTCAAAATATGTCTGTGGGGAGGAGGGTGTTGACATCACGAATAAGGTTAAGATTGGCGAGGACTTAATGATTGCTGAAACTGGATAATGGGGTTCATCATATTCTGTACATTTTGATATTTTTCACCATTAAAAACAAAAAAGGAGGCAAGGTAGTGATATTGTAATAGACGAACCAACAAAACTGGGTGATAACTGAAGAATCACCATGCCCCCATTTGAATGGACAGGTTCAAAAGGAAGACCTCTGGGCACAGGATGAACTATTCAAATAGTTTCTGAATGACAGTAAAATACATGGTATAAGCAGATCAAGGCCATATATTTAAAAAGTGCTACCAACTAGCTTTTATTCATAGTATTTGATTACCATATTAATCATTTGAATTCAAATGTTTTATAAATATGTTATTACTTTTGGAAGCATGTTAAAGATAATAAGCCTGTATTTAGCACCTTTTCAAAAAGCATCGTAGACTATCATCTTAATTTGTTAACAAGCATATGAAGTAGAGAGGTCAAAATGGACCATTGTTAGAGCTCCCTTTTGATGGGTGTTACTTTAGAAGCCTCTAAGCTAAATGACACAGCACATAGAATGCTTTCTAATTTTAAATACAGTACTTAACAAAAGAAAAATAAAAAAGAATACAACTTAGCTGAAATACTTATTTTTATAAAAATGTGTTTTATTTTAAAACCAGTCTATAAAAGTAGAAATCACATACAAAAATACAGATTACTCTGACGTGTTGGCAAAATAGCTTATGGCTGGACTTGAGTTTGGAAGTACTGTATATTTGAGGGCATCCGGAAGTAAGAGTCCAAACCGGATCCTATCACACAGCCCTTGTCACTAATCTGTAAACAATAATTTCAAGTAGTATTTAGCACTTTTTAACTACTAAGAAATTGAAGCATAATCATTTCCTGTGTAACACTACTTTAAAACTACCTTAGGTCTGAGCAGATAAGGGCACTTCATACTAGTGTATCTAACATTTAAAAATTTCAATTAAAAAAAAAAACAGTTAATAGAAATGATGGGTTTTGGCTTTTTGTTACATGTGAGGAGGTCATCAATTTAAACTAGTTTTTTGTGATTTTTAAAATCCAAAATTTATTCTTTTTGCTTCTATGTACCAGTTTTTTAAAAAAAATTCACTGATGCTATCAAAAGGTTAAACACCTGAACCTTAACTTTTATGTAGGTGCAAAGTCGTGCTTACTGCTCTGAAACTGCACAGAACATACTTGCTTCTAGTGTGTATTTCTGATTGAAGGGAACATGCAGTTCTGAGGGAACTTTAGGTTCCATACCTTATAAAATGGATAGTTTCAGACAATTATTGTGAGACCATTAAAAAAAAGACAATTTAAAATACTTGATTCCAGAGTAATATAAAAATAACCTCAAGAACCTCAGCACTAAAGGAAAAGAGCAGGCAACTTCAGTTCAGAATTCTTCCATCCAACTTTTCAAGAATAGAGACTGGATTAATACAATCTTTCTAAAACAAAGCAAGTCACTTTAAAAGCTAAAGAACCATGTTAACATAATTTGATTATAAAGTTAGAAAACCACAATTATTTCTGGGAACACAGTACCTTTATGAACATTAAAGGATACTTCAAATTAACCTGCCATAGAAAATTGTCTCTGAGCCTTCAAATCCTATACCAATTCTATGTCTGGTTGTTCTTTTATTTATTTGTTTTTTATTTAGGTTTTAAGGTGAATTACAGGGAGCTATTTATTTCTAGTAACCTAATTTCAAATCTAAAGGCAAAATTGAAACGTACCTTTTTTCCTATTCCCAGAAGAGTTTGCCTCAAATCCTACTATCCTATGATTCACTTTCTGTTTAGCTTACGATACAAATAGCTTTATTGTTTTTCCAAGCCATATCTTATAAAGCAATATTGAAAAATTAAACAGATAAAAGATATCACACAGGCTATGAAGATTATTTGCCAGTGGTAACTTTTAAGCTTGATTCTGAATAGACTTAAGAAGGGCACTTGGAAGAGGTGGCTCAAATTTAGCCCTTTAAAGTATCTTGACATTATAAGCTCACTCTCCTAAAATTTCAGGCCTAGAACTTTGGCTCTTAAGAACATAGCAGTGATGATACAAGCTTTTATAGTCATTTCAAAAAAGCAACACTTCATATTTTTCCCTCTCAAGTGGTTCCCTAATATACTTGCAGAATGAAGACAAAGGGAAAACCAAGAATAAAACTAGCTGACTGTTCCCGAAATTGAGCTTCCTGCTTAATTTTTCCTGTTCCAAAAAAAAAAAGAGGAGACACCATTCTGCAATAAATACTTCATAGACAATTAGGCTTTTGCAGCGTCAGTCGGCATTTGATGCCCCATATCTCCTGGTTCTTTTTGTTGCCAATAGTTGGCCTGGCAATGGTGGTGAAATGGGAGCAATTAATCTGTAGATGAGGAAGGGCTTCCTTTAAAAGTTGAAGGGTACCATCTGGCACGATTCCAAAAACTTGTAGTGTTTTTAGTGTGGGAATTTCTCCAAGTTCACTGGAAAGGGAAAAAAAGACTTTTAGAATAGCAGTATCTACGGAGACTGTCAACTAGAGTTATATGACCCAATTTTTACACTTTGTATCATAAAGTGCAATCTGTAAACATAATTTGTAATAAAAGATTTGAGAAAATAGCAAAGGTATCAAATTGGAAAGCACAGACCATATAGCTTGAGCAATATGGCCTTTCTAGGATATACACTGGTGCAGTTTGTTGAATGAAGCTCCTAACAACCTTAGAAACTCTGAGGTTTAAATAAACTAACAAATTCAACTATATTTGCTTCCCTTCTCCATTCTTGATTTATACAGGGAATATGAAAGGGGTTACCGTGTTGTAAGAAGAAACTAGCAAGCAAGTGATAGTAAATGTTTTATTTTGGCATCAGTTGGAACCACCACAAGTTATATGCAATTTAAGGATATGGACTTGACCTTTATTTGAATTTTGCTCCATTTATCAAAAGAAGATGTCAGCAGGGTTGATGAACTTAATAATGGTTCAAAGTCAACAAGTCCATTGTGTGTGATGAAACCTACCAGTGACTTCCCTGAGATATTTTAGATAGGGTTATGTAGTTGAGTACACACGGAGAAAATGGGTGACCAATCACAACCTTTCACAGGAGGCAATAGCCATCTTCACCACTCTACAGGTTACCATTTTTTTCTGTCACAGGTAAGCCAATCCTCTTAGGTATTTCACATTAGGTGAAATATAACTCTGTCAATAGTGAAATTCTGGTTCACAAAAAAGGAAGCCCATTTCTTCAAAGTAAATACTGTTGGTTTTGGTAATGATTCTTCTTAACCCAGATCTATGTGCCTAAAAATTCATCTCTCTGATCTGTATTTGCTCCAGGTTGGGACATAGTACAAAGTCTCAGTAAAGGGAACATTTATTTTGGATTTTCAACAAAATTCCACTGCAGATCAATTAACACATCAGTGACCTAGAGTTAGAAGCATCCTCTTTATTTTCATATGGTCAATAATGACTTGAAAAACCAAACTTTCCTTATAATAACTGGCTTCCCATCTTTCTTCCTTCCAGACTATTATTCTATATGCCAATGTCCAATGTATCCTCCTAAAGCCTTGCTCAGATTGTGTCATTCATCTGCTCTGAAACCTTTGATGCCTGCCTCCTATTTACAAAACCCAGGCTGTTCAGGTGGCCAGAAGACTGTCCTCGCTTAACCTGTTCTTCCAGTTTTCCAGTCATCCCTCTAAATGTATGTGTTCTACCTTCCACAGGTTTCTTAAACACCACAGGTGTTTAATATATGTTAGCTAAATACGAGATGAAGAGTAATTTAGAAAATAAAAGCACTGTCCAAATAAATATGCTTGTTCATAAAGGGACAATAAGATCTGGAGATAAAACATCAAAAGAAAACCAGGAAGAATAAATTACTATCATTTTTCAAGTAAAATGATTTCTGGAATGTAGAAAAAGGAGTAGAAAAGTCACAATACACAGATGTTTATACTTATCATTTAAGATGACAATAATCCCACTCCAACTTTGAATCCCTCTTAGGTGAAATTTGAGAAATGAGAGCTTTGTAACAACTGTGTGAATTCTGGTTCTGGGATATCCAAACTAGCCAAATTGTGAGCCCCTATGCAGTGAAGAAACTGTAGGTGGGAGTAAGAAAAGAAAGTATGGCAGATGGCAGACGAGGAAATATTCTTGCAACAGCACTGGGAAAGGGATTTGGTGAGGAAAGAAATTAAGACCAGACTCTCAGAGCCCACTTGGGTGTTATGTGAGAAGGGAGGTATATAAAGATAGGATGATGGATGAAGGACCAGTTCCCCAGTCAAAAACCCAGAAAGCCTCTAAAATTTTAAGGAGGAGAAAGGGGGAAAACGTCTCTTGGTATATGTACTACCTACAACACAGAGCAAAAAATTTGTAAGCATCTTTTTAAAACTACAGTGGAAGAGACTGAAGAGCAATCTAAGGGATAGCAAACAGAAATGGATAGTTAAGAACTATTATTTCTAATATAAAAAGTGTAAAATGCAATCAATAATGTCTTAAGTTCCTTTGTTTAATTTTACTATATAAAAGATATTTATAAACTGTATCACAGGTTTACTCCTCACCTCACCTACATAATACTGTTTTCCACATAAAACCTTAAATGCCTTATGTGCAAATCTCTTACCATAGGAGACTTCAGTCTCCCCTAACCTCAGATCAGTTTACTGTCTCCAGCTTGGATTTCTTGCTTGAACAAGAAATAGGGAATAATGAGAAGAAAGTTTAGATATAGGGAACAAGACCAATTCAGAAGGGAATAAATACAATGGGAATAGGTCCTGAGGAAGAAAAACCTACCAAGTATTGAAAACATTATTATAGAGGAAAGGCAAATTTTATTTTCTCACTTCTAAGATAAGAAATAGCCATCCTTTAGTATACATGACTCTAGAAATTACTGAGGCACCCTGGAATGTTTATAATGAATCTCAAATAAATATATCAGCTGCCAGAATGGCTGAAATTAGAGTCCTTCTAATTTTATTTTATCTTGAGAAATTTTAAAAGGATAGGGTACCAATAAACTCATATTAAAGGATTCACTACATAAATCAACATATTAGGTTGGCACAAAAGTGTTTGCGATTTCAGCATTGTTGAAATTTGCATTTGATATTGAAATACATTCTTAAATAAATGTGGTTACGTTATACATCATTTTGATGCATATTTCTCACTTTTTTTTGCTAATGACTTATTACTTGTTGTTTATTTTATATTTATTATAGACTATGGAAATGATGTTAGACAAAAAGCAAATGCAGTGATTTTCTTATTCAAGTTCAAAATGGGTCCTAAAATAGCAGAGATAACTCGCAACTTTGACAACACATTTGGCCCATGAACTGCTCACGAACATACAGTGCAGTGGTGGTTCAAGAAGTTTTGCAAAGGAGACGAGCCTTGAAGATGAGGAGTGCAGCGGCCAGCCATCAGAAGTTGACAATTGAAAGAAATTATCAAAGCTTATCCTCTTACAATTAACTACTTGAGAAGTTGCTGAAGAACTCAATGTCGACCATTCTACCGTTGTTCGGCATTTGAAACCAATTGGAAAAGTGAAAAAGCTTGATAAGTTGGTGCCTCATGAGCTGACCGAAAATCAAAAAATCATCGTTTTGAAGTGTCCTCTTTTCTTCTTGTATGCAACAACGTGAATCATTTCTGGATGGGATTGTGATGTGCCAAGACAAGTGTATTTTATATAACAACTGGCGATGACCAGCTCAGTGGTTGGACTGAGAAGAATCTCCACAGCACTTAATAAAGCCAAATTTGTACCAAAAAAGGTCATGGTCACTGCTTGATGGTCTGCTGCAGTCTGATCTGCTGTAGCTTTCTGAATCCCAGCGAAACCATTAAATCTGAGAAGTATGCTTAGCAAATCGATGAGCTGCACTAAAAAATGTAATGCCTGCAGCCAGCACTGGTCAACAGAAAGGGCCCAATTCTTCTCCACGACAACTACTGCACATCACACAACCAATGCTTCAAAAGTTGAACGAATTGGGCTACAAGTTTTCCCTTATCTGCCATATTCACCTGAACTACCAACCAACTACCACTTCTTCACGCATCTCAACAACTTTGCAGGGAAAAGGCTTCCACAACCAGCAGGATGCAGAAAATGCTTTCCAATACCATGGTTCCCTGAAAATAAGACCTATCCATAAAATAAGCCCTAGCAGGATTTCTAAGCATTTGTGCAATATAAGCCCTACCCCGAAAATAAGACCTAGTGATGGGCATGGCTACGCAGTGTATCTGCACAACCCATCCGTTTCGCTGCAGAGCGGTAAGACGAGCAGCCCTTCTCATCTGCCCCATCGTGAGAGGTACTATCCCAGAGGTGATCAGAAAGGTGCGGGCAGCCCCACCAACAAGGTTGGCTCCGTCTCTCCGGTCCTGGCCATCCTGTGCATGCTGCAAGCTGAGGCTTTGAGGGGAAAAATAACACATCCCCTGAAAATAAGCCCTAGGGTGTCTTCTTGAGGAAAAATAAATATAAGACCATGTCTTATTTTTGGGGAAACACGGTAGTTCATTGAATCCCAAAGCATGGATTTCTATGCTACAGGAATAAACAAACTTATTTCTCCTTGGCAAAAATGTGTTGATTGTAATGGTTCCGATTTTGATTAATTAGATGTGTTTGAGCCTAGTTATAATGCTTTAAAATTTATGGTCTGAAACCACAATTACTTTTGCACCAACCTAATATTATTTATATAATGCCTAAAAAAAAAAATCACACTCTTTTTAGCTTAAAGTTAAAGGACACCACTTTCTTGTTCTCACTCTATGCTAGTAGTGAGCTGACTTGTATCTAAACTCCTGATCCTCTTGTTTCTCTTATTTCACGATAAGATTTAGAAAAGTAAAAATAATAATGCAGTGAACGTTCACACCTAGGTCTGTAACTTCAGGCCCATTTTCTTAACCATTAATTCACACTACCCACAGGTATTACTATGTGATTATTACACAGGTACTGCTATTACTATTATCCCACTGGAAAAAAAAAATACTAAAACATGAGGGCTCACAGCTTCTGATTGATAAAAAGCATTTATTACCTGCTTAGCTTCTTCCTTTCTGCAGAGAAGGAACAAAAGCAAGAAACATGGATATATTCTCTTGAGAAAAGCAACCAGAAAAGAATTATCACCACACTCCCCAGGGGGCTGCACAGGCAAAGAATCAGGAGCCCCATGGCAAGGACAGGAAAGAATGGATGACAGAGAAACCTTTTTGGGTAGATGCTAGAAGTTCCTAGGAGTTCTGGATGCTAGAAAATAGAGAGGGCGGGAATTTCAATGAGTTCCACGTATATGAATTTAAACCCCAACATCTGAGAGCCATCTAAGTAAATGCTGGCAGCCTTTTTACACAATGCTTTTCCAAATGAGATACCAGCTCAGGCCTGAGCCCCAAGATTAATTACAACACATAATTGCCAGATTTCCTAATTCTACGAGTTAACCCCATACAGCTGAAGAATCGGATTTTCATTCATCATTTCTTGAACCTAACATGTAAGATCCAAACCATTATTTTAAAAACTAAATAAATTCTCACTCAAATTTACCACCCTTCTCAAGTAGGAACCTGCAGCTAAATTACTTTCATTTATTTCATTTCATTTCATGAGTTCAACAGCTGCATTCAGGGCCTATTGGCAGTAGTAAGAGAGAGCAACTGATACTGGCCAAGATTCTGACCTCTTGTGGTTTTTAATAAAATTGCTACACATTTACATTTGACATTATGAAGACTTTTCCAGGCCTTTGGGATGAAATAAAGGGAACCATTTTAAAAATAAAAAGATGGTATTATTCCCACAATGACTTGGGTATAGCACTTCCTAAAAGAAAGATGGAGAGACTAGACTGCTTTTTTCTTTGCACCCCCTTGATTCTGTGGAGTTGCTGAGCAGGCAAAATTAACCCTCATATGAACCACCAGATTAGATACCCAGACTATTTTGCATCTGTTCAGGAGATATAGGATCTAGACCTAGCTCAGCTGGTAACTCACCATCAGGTTTGGATAAGTCACTTCACTTTTTTGGACCTTAATCTCCTCCCTGTTCACCACCTACATGCTTTTATTCTTCCTATTCCTTGACCATCCAGGACAGACATCACTAGAAGGTATAGAACTTTTCCTTTAAGCCCAGATGAAGGCTTTGAAAATCAATTGCATTGATCTGGAAAATTTGAGTGGGGGCGAGAGGGAAAGACACTAGAGACACCAACCCACAGACATCGGGTCTGCCTTCCCAATTATACTCTGTGTTCCCAGGACGTAAAAGTTACCTGCATCATTTCCAAGTCCTCCACACATACTAATATGGTATGCTAGTAATTAAAACTGTTTATAGCTAAGTAATAAATGTTTAGGGAACGATCTCAGACAACTCAACTCTCCAAGACATTTTAAGCAAAATGTTCTGCCCTAGTTTATTCTGCTGGTCTTTTCTGGCCAATTTGTGGTACACTAACATTAATGTTTCAATTTCCAATGTCTGCTATTAATAATAATGGATTTTAACACCTGGCATCTCTGTTGGTCCCTGCCTTCTATTAGCCTTAAAAATAAAGCATACTTACAGTAAAGTTTCTGGTATTATATCATAGCATCGACTGAGTGATAGGTGTTGGAGGTAGTTGAGCTGGTAAAATTCCTGAAAGCAGTCATTCTTTAGCATGACACTATCACTGTAACAGAGCAGAAGAAAAGATATTCAAAACCACCCATTGATCGTAGGTGGAGAAGACAAAAATAAGGTACTGCTTAGTTCCTTTAATTCAACATTAAGATCTTTTCCCCATTCAATGAGAAATGCAGATTTTTCAACTTTCGATCTAATAAACAAACAAAAAAATACCTTAAGTCTAGGTGGACAAGATTGGGGCATCTTCTAACTAAAGTAGAGACATCTAGGAAAAACAAATAAACATGGTCACTATTAAATGAGTAACAAGACAAAGATCTTTGCTATCACTATTATCATTTAACACTGTGCTAGAAGTATAAACAATGCAATTAGAGTTGTACACTATTAGAAAGATTGATTATATGATCATCTTGGCATATAAAATTTTCTACCTAAAAAACCCAAGAGAATCATGTGAAAAACTACTGGAAATGTAAAATGACTGGTTAACAACAATCCTTAGCTTATCTATGTATCACCAATAACTGGCTGGAAAAATAATGGAGAGAAAAAAATCCCATTCACAATAGCAAAAAACAAAACCAAATACTAGAATATATACATAATATATTATAAAGGTGGCACTTTAAATCAGTGAGGGAAATCATGGATTATTAAAATATTGCTACCAGCATTGGAAAAAATTATTTCTCCAACTCAAATAATATATCCAAATAAATTTCATGTAAGTTCTAAATACAAAAATATGGGTAATTGCTTATTGAATCTTGGGATCGGTAAGGCATTTTTAACATAGAAGAAAACATATAGGTAACATATACTTAAATACAATACATAAAATTTTTAAAACAAAGTAGTAAAAGAAAACTGGGAATAAGTGTTTTCAACATTCATTAAACAGAGAGTTAAGTCTTATATATATAAAGAGGAAAAAAAAAGATAAACAATAGATAGTAGGCAAAGAATATGTAACATGGGAGGGTGAGGCAAAAGGATCGCTGGCGCTCAGGAGTTTAAGACCAGCCGGAGTAAGAAGGAGACCCCATTTGTATTAAAAATAGAAAAATTAGCCAGGCACGGTAGCTGGTAGTAGTCCCAGCTACTGAGGACACTGAGACAGGAGAATTGCTTGAGCCCAGGAGTTTGAGGTTGCTGTGAGCCATGATGATCTAGCTTGGGCAACAAGAGCGAAACAGTTAAAAAAAAAAATATATATATATATATAGATAGATAGATAGATAGATAGATAGATAGATACACACACACACACACGTAACAGATCTAATTTGCAAAATACGGATAATAAAAATGGAACAAAAATTATGAAATAAAATTAGAAGTATAGTTTCTCAGCCATCAAATGAAAAGAAATTCTATTATAAAGCAGCATCCCCCATACCAAGTGGATATTTAGTTTTATGTACAGACTTTCAGAAGGCGGAACTGATTTTTTTTTTAAGAATTCAGAGCATTACACATTTTGCCTTTTAGTCCAGTAATTTCACTTTTAGAAAAATACAGATGTGTGTGAACATATTCAACGTAACAATAGTTATAACAGCCTCTCCTCCAATTAGGTTAATATATTATCCTCATTCATTCCATGGATACAGTGCTAATTGTTGTCCTTAAAAAGTTTTTTGATAACATTTCATGACATGAAAAAAAATACAAGGAGATATTGCATAGTAAACATAACAAAATATAAATGTTTTATAATCTTAATTTAGTCAAAACACACACCCACAAATGCACACACTAAAAGAAAGAGAGAAAAGGAAAAAAAGGCTGGATGGAAATATACCAAAAATGTTAGCTGCAGTGATCAAGGATGTTGGGAATACAGGTAACTTCAGAATTTGGAAGAAAGTCACATGAGCTACTCTCTATTCAGAAAATGAATCAACAGATGTTAGGTATTTAAAACAACAGACAACCTTCATTAATGTTTGAGGGTTTTTTCCCTCTCACAGCTGTATCTTCAGCTACATCTCCTTTCCTAAATCCTGGACTTGCATTTCCAACTGCTAAAGCAGTTGAAGCATCAACATATCCATTGGGACATGGGACAGGCATCCAAATTTATGTCTAAAACCAAATGCTCAATCTCTCCCCTCAATCTGCTCCTTCTTTAAAGTCTTTCCCATTTCAGTAAGTGACAACTTCACGAATCCAGTTGCTTGGGCCAAAACTGTTGGAATCATACTTGACTGCTTTTCTAACATCCCACATCCAATCTGTCAACAATTCCTATTATGTCAGTTTTCAAAATGCACCCCAAATCTTATCATTTCTTACCACCTTAAATGTTACCACCCCAGCCTCCTAACTGGTCTCCCTGCTTCATACTTTATCCCCTACAGCTTCTTCTCAATGTAGCACTAGAGTTTGTCTTTTAAAATTAAGTCTGATCATAACAGGGCTCTGCTCAAAACACTCCAATGGCTTACCATCTGAATCAGAAAACATCCAAAGCTTTTGCCTTGGCTCAGAGAGCCCTGAGCTGTCTCGTCCCCTTTCACTGTCCTCCTTGCTCCTTCTCATATACTGGCTCCATATCAAGGCCTTTGTACTTGCTGGTCTTGTGTTCTAGAATGTTCTCTCACACATCCATATGGATTCCTCCTTCACTTGGTCACCGGCTCAAGTGTCCCTTCCTCACAGCGGCCCTCTCTTTGACCATTCCACCTAAAACAGCCCCCTTCCTGCCACATTCTACCTGCTTACTCTGCTTTATTTTTCCTCTTTGCATTTTCACCTCTTTTCATAACATTTGTTCATTGCCTGGATCTTCCACTAGAAAAGTAAGCTTCACAAGGGTGACTTGTCCTGTGTTATTCAAAGCTACGTTTCCTCAGTCTGGAACAGAGCTTCATACATTGCTCAGCAAACATTTGTTTAATGAATGACCAAAATATGAAGAAAGTGCACAATAAAATTTTGAGTGACCAATCATCTAGCCAGCAACTAGTCATCAACGAAATTAGATATAATCTTACTTTGATACTACCACAGAAAGAACCAAACACTGGGGGATAAAACTGGTTAGTTTCCTTCTCTGGCCTTCATTTAAGCCCTGTCTTCCCTTGGTGGGAAGGGTTAGTCGACAGTAGTCAGTGCCAAGAGTCTCTCTTCACTGCTTCTTCCTTTATTTTATCACTAACAACAGATCCCCTGGAGCTAGGAGGGATCTTAGAAACCATAAAATTCAACCCATCACTTCAGAGGAGAGGTGGTTTTAGCCACAGATGTCAAGGTCAAATCCAAGACAACAGCTAGGTCTTCCAAGACCCTGTTCTCTGCTTATTCGTTGCCCCATGGAAACACAGTGATGGAGGCGGGAGCAGTAGTAACAGCCAACAGTAACTGAATTCTGTGTGCCAAGAGGTATTCCACATGTACAAATATTAACTCATCTATTCTTTACTATAACTTTAAGCAGTGGGTTCTACTTATAACTTATATCTCCATTTTATTGATGAGGCAACTGAGGAACAGATACGTTAAGCAACTTTCTCAAGGCTACCCAGTAAATGGCAGAGTGAGTATTTGAATCCAGGCAGTCTGGCACCAGTCTATGAGTCAAACCAATGTCCGACTATCTTATTTCATTATATATAATGAAATAGTGTGTGCTACTGTTAAGACATTAATTTAAAAATTTTTATTCCCATTGTATAATTTAAAAACCTAGCATTTCAACTTACACACTGTCTCTTTGCCCTTGCCCTCAAAGTGTCCAGCAAGTGGGATTTTATTACCTATTATTTCTGCCAAAACTCAGTAAACAGGTTCTCTTTCTCAAGGAACAAAGAGAAGAGTTTTAAGCCAAATGGCTTAATTAACGGCAGTTTGCCTAAAGCGGTTTCTCAACCTTACACCCAGAGCCTCAGTTTATTTCAGAAAAAACTTTCAATAAAGTAGTGTGAGATCCAGATGTGGAATTGAAATGTAAACAGGACACTGTCTTCCCTTCCCTGGTGAATGAGCAGAGAAGAGCCAACAGTGGTGGGATTCCATGCGAAGAGGATGCTTATGGGTAGGAGTTTAAACTCCTTGGAAGGTAATTTGGCAAGCTTGAGAACAGTGGCCAATTGTTGACTCTACTTCTAAGCAATTCCACTTTTAAGAATCCATCCTTATAAATGACCCAAAGATTTCTCTTTGTCCATGATAAAGTTATTTATAGAAGGGAAAAACTGGAAAGACTCCAAATGTCCATTAGATCAGCTGCATAAATTATAACCTTAATATAAATTATTCCATATCTACTTGATGGAATATCACATAGCCACTGAAAATGAAGTTATCCGGAAAAAAAAAATAACATATACAAAGTATTTCACACACTATGTCTCATTTTTAAAAACACAGTTTTGTACAGGAAAAAGACTGGCAAGATGTTGCATTATGGTTATTTGTTTCTCTTTCGTATTTTTCTATATTTTACATATTTTGAGAATGACTGTATAATACTAGCATCAGATTTAAAATAGTGTTTAGAGGGAAAAAATGTAGAAGTATTTCGTGGGGGGAGTGGTAAGAAATCAAGACATGTTTGGTGCTTTTAGGGATCTCTAAAGAAAATGTTCCCCTTGTCTGAAAATGCAAGCTTTTGGAATGGCAGCAATCCAAATCTGAGTCCTTGCACAGGCAAAGGACTCGAATCCCCATCCACTCACGAGCCTCTAGCTATTGTTTCTACAGCCTGATATATCTTACCAGAGGACACAGCCTGTCCTGGAGAAGTAGTTTTCAAATACTACTTAAATTTTAGGATATATTCGGCAAATGTTTGATTCAAATCTTTTTAAGTACAATAAAAACTCTAATAAACAAAATACATATACTCAAATGAGCTAGAACCAATATCAAGACATCAAACTATGGTTGACGTGGGTTGCTAGTTTAAACAGGTTTCGTACCGCCCACAGACTGAATGTTAGCCTGAGTTGGCAAGGTGAAGCCATAAAAAAAACTTGCCATTTGCAACCACTTGTCTTTGCAAATTTCTCAACATTATACAAACAAAACAAAGCATAATCAAATGTTAAGGTTTATAAAGATGGTAACTGTTACCCACTTCTCCTGATTTCAAATACCTGTGTTCATCTAAACTACCTCATCGCCCTCTTAGACTGAATTAAAAAAGTAAAAGTCATAAATATGAACTTTCCAACTTGGCACTACTGACATTTGGACCAGATTATTTTGTGTGCTATTCTGCTACCCCATGCAGAGTTTAATAGCATTCCTGGCTTCTATTCACTAGATGCCAGTAGTACCCTGCAGCTGTGACAAAAATGTTTCCAGACATTGACAAATGTCCCTTGAAGGCAAAATGACCCCCAATTGACAACCAATACTTAATACTAATCAAATACCACATTTACTTAATTTTATGTTGGGGTTTTATCTAATGATTTGTTGATTAAAAGAAGTTCCTCTGCTTAAAAATAAATTGTTTCCAACTATAAAGGTTTCTACTTCTAAATCCTGGGTTCATATCTTGACTAGCTCACTAGCTGTTCACTTTTATCTAACCCTTCTGGTCAGCAGCTACCTCATCTGAAAAATGGGAGTAACACATGCACTGGCTGAAATGAGGCAACTTATGTAGAAGAGCACTGAGGAGACCCTCAATGAATCCAATCTGTTACTGTCCGGAAGGCCCAGGCCCGGAAGGTCTAACCTGATTTCTGGAGATTCTTCCGGTAGCCGCTAAGATTCAGCTGGGTGATGGTCTCTGACACGTGCGCCACGGCAACCTGCACGTGCTTTTCAGTGAAGTCATAACACCAGGAAAGGTTCAGCTCATCCAGTCTGCACAAAAGAGGAGTAATAGAAAAGTATGAAACCATCACACAGGAATGCGTTTGCATTAAGCTGCAAGTAAAGAAACCACAAAGCCACTATGCATAGAATGCCTGCTTCTCTAGCAGCAGGTACCTTTGCTCACCCGAGCCTGCCTGGTTTGCCCCTGAAAGTTGTCAGTGGAACAGAGCGCAGGCCTCACTCAATGCTGCCCCCTTCTGGAAATGGAAGGGAGCACCTTCCTCTCCTGATGGCTCAAACTTCACTCCAGGACTGAAGGTAGAAGGAATTCTAGCCCTTATGTTTTCTTTCTCAAGCCACCACCAACCACACAGACTGAGCAATTGCCCGAAATGTTTAAAAAAAAAATAAATGGATGTATTGCACTGGGGATTCCTAATAAAGATATGCTGACACTGCAAAAAGCCACTTCATTTTATTGTGCCTCTGCTAACTGTGCGAATAAGGGTTTCAGAGAAAATGTCCAATCATTAAACCCCACTTTCCACTTCCTGGCACTGCTGACTATATGTAGGACTATACATTTTATCTCACTGATGAAATTCTTATCAAAGGCAATCTATTTTCAACAAATCATTAATAAGATACAGGTGCAAATGCTGTACCACAGAGACCAAGAGATACTTAAAAAAAAAAACACATACACATAGTACTTTATATTCCATAAACCATGTATCTTATTTAGTAATAGCTTAGTAATACTACTTAGGAAAACTTAGCAATAAGTAATAATACTTAATAATGCTACTAAGATATTACTTAGTAATACCTGTAATATCTGTTAACTCAATACCCTTTACATGCTGACATTATAAAAGATGTTATTAATAGAATCGCCCAAATTTATTATCTATATTTACAATGCACTAACTTGATCAAAAACTGTTAAGTTAGGTCTACAGATATTGTTGGAAAGAAACCCAGCAGTACAGTCAAGTGTAAACAGATTTCTTTCCACCACTGGTTGATAAACACTCCTGAATTTAGAAACAAGTTTGGAGGGCAAAGGATTTTATGTTATCCAAATCAAGAGCCTTGAGAATTAAGAATAGCTCAAAAAGTTTATCCAATTCTATTCAGATGTGAGGGATGATTGTACATTTGACACAGCAGTTCTATAATGAAGTCTCAAATCTTTCCTACCTGGAACAGCTGCTTAGCAAAGTCTTCAGGGCAGATTCAGAGAATCCAGAACACCCAGAGAGGTTTAGTCGTGTTAAATTTGAGTTCTGCGCAAGATTACTGGAAAAAAAGAATATTGCCGGAGGAATAAGACACTTTTATTTGATCAATAAACAATTGAATAAAAGCAGGCTAGTGTAATTAAGTGCACAGGGCTTCTTGTAAAGTGAGTTTAAAATTCATATAATTAGCCAGGCTCAGTGGCTCATGCCTATAGTCGCAGCACTTTGAAAGGCTGAGGTGGGAGGACCGCTTGAGGGCAGGGCTTTGAGACCAGACTGGGTGACAAAGCAAGACCCAGTGTCCACGAAAAATAAAAAAATTAGCCAGGAATGGCAGTGAGCACCTGCAGGCCTAGCTACTTGGGAGGCTGAGGCAGGAGGATCACTTGAGCCTAAGAGTTCGAGGCTGCAGTGAGCTATGTATGAATCCTGCCATTGCACTCTAGCCAGGACAGCAGGGCGAGACTCTGTCTCTAGAAAACAAACAAACAAATAAATAAATAAATAAACAAAATCCACACATCACTGTCTCTGTGACATCAAGCAGGATGCTTTGCCACAGTTTACTCATCTGTGAAATGGCATTTATCAGTACCTTCTCAGTAGAGTTATTAAGATTAAATAATATAATGTAATAAATGATTTAGCACAGAATAAATGTGTAAGAAACATCAATCAAAGTATTTTTTGAATTTAAAAAAAGGCAATGGAATAAACATATATTCATTTCACCCATAATTGGAATTAGCTTGTAGACAAAACTTCTATTTGTAAAATCACCAGATTCTTTTGATTAAATGTCTCTCAAATTTGCCCTCTCTTCTATAACATTCCCAAATGTCCTATCTTAGTGAAACTTAGCGATTAACAGCAAGAATTCTAAATTATATTATATTGCCAGGTTAAAATTTTGGTTTGGCCGCCTCCTAACTGTGTAGCTTTGGACAAGTTATTCAGTCTCTCTGTGTCTCGTTTTCCACATCTATAAAAAGGAAACAATAAGAACATATTTCATGGTGTTGCAGTTAGAATGAAATGAGAATACACTTAACTTAGCATCTGGCACATACTAAATGTCCCAAACATGTTAGCTGCTATTGTATTTTTTATATCAGGTTTCATCTTTTCTTGAACACTACAGTATCCAAACTACCCTATAGTTGCTTCTATGTCTGATGGATCTTGCATAGTGCCTACTTGGTTAATTTTCTAAATTCCAACTCTGACATGTTCCTTCCATTCTCAGAACCACTCTCTCCACCATGCTTCCCTCTTTATAGCCTACCACAGAGTCTAGGCTTCTTACAATGTAGCATAGATGCCCAATATAATCTGGTCTCCGACTCTGCTCACCTCCTGTCACTTCCATCCCCGAGTGCTATGCTCCAGAAACTTCTAACTACTTAAGACTTTATTTATTTATTTTGAGACAGAGTCTCACTCTGTTGCCTGCGCTAGAGTGCCGTGGTGTCAGCCTAGCTCACAGCAACCTCAAACTCCTGGGCTCAAGTGATCCTTCTGCCTCAGGTTCCCGAGTAGCTGGGACTACAGGCATGCGCCACCATGCCCGGCTAATTTAAGAGTTTAGAACAGGCGTCCTCAAACTACGGCCCGTGGGCCACATGTGGGTGTTTTTCCCCATTTGTTTTTTTACTTCAAAATAAGATGTGCAGTGTGCATAGGAATTTGTTCATAGTTGTTTTTAAACTATAGTCCAGCCCTCCAACAGTCTGAGAGACAGTGAACTAGCCTCCTGTTTAAAAAGTTTGAGGACCCCTGGTTTAGAATCACACAGGCAACTTCACCTAGGCTGCTTCTCTTGTCCTGTCACTCGGAGATCTCCTACCTGGATATCTTTAATACTCAGCTTAGGAGTCACTTCCTCTGAGAAGGCTGCCCTGCCTAAATTTAATTAGGTCTCCTGTGTGTGTTGCCACGTAATCACCAATGCATTTAATAAACACACTACATGGTAATTATCTGTCTCTCCCATGAATGGGACAGGGACCATTCATTGTTCATCCCTGTATCTCTAGAACTAGCATATAGTTAGCATTCAAACTTCTGTTGCCTCCATGAGTCCTAAAAGTTCTACAGAAGCTGGAGCACTGCACTAGGTATTTTCTATGTCCTTCTATGGATAGAAGGGCATCCCAGTTATATAAAGGGAACAAAATTCATACACATAAAAACCACTGCCTTTGTGACATGCTTTGGCTGCCACTCACTTGACAATGGGATCTGAAAGCCGCAGGCCTTCCAGGCTTAGATTCTGCAACTTGGAGCACTGAGACAGAATGCCGTGGAGGGTAGACACATCTATGACCGAGTTTGACAGGTCCATGTGCTGTACACGAAAAGGGCTGAATGCAGAAGAGAAAAAAGAGGCTCCATAAGGTGGCTCTCATAGGTCATCCAGATCAATCAGACCCCTACTTCCCAAATGAGTAGCCAATACAAAGAAGACCCTCAATACACATTTCAAGTATTGACTATAGTTTTGGTCATAAAACAAATTGCTACTAGCTTATTCCAAGACTCACTCAAATTCGAGAAGATTTTTGCCAAGTGCAGATGTTGCTGCCAACAGGCCCACTCAGAAAATTAGTAAGCATGATGGAAATGAGCTGGATGTGGGTGACAAGGAGGTTAAGCCTGTAATGACTCCTGTTTTGGGGCAGGGGTGAGTGGCAGTGGTATTTACTAAAATAGGGAAGATAGTAGAAGAGCATATTTTAAAGGAAGGCCAAGTTTAATTTTAGATATGCTAATATCATAGTTAGAAGAAATTCAGGTGCAGAAGTTTTTTGGTAATTTGAAATTTGGGAGTTTGAAAGAGAGGGCTGAGCTACACATGAGGAACTGAGTGTCCTGGGTATAAATGTGGGTGTACAGGACACAGTTTGCCCAAGGGCAACAAGAGGATTAAGAAGAGAAGGCAGTCATAAACCTTCATATTGCAAAATTATCAAGAACAAAGAAATATGTTTTTAAAATATTCTACAAAACAAAAAGAGGGCACTCAGATTGTACATTTTTCCACAATAGGATCCAAAACCCCAAACCCTCAAGCTACTAATCTGAAGACTTCTCAGATTTTTATTGACCAGAAATGGGCAGCAGGGAAATAACTAGGCAGCCTTGCACCTGCAGGTGAGTGCTCTGCTTGGCTCCTGCCCAGGGGGACTCACAATCCCATCTACTGAAGACCAGACCTGAGAAACTACATGTGCATCTTTAACCCTGGGAAGAGCTTAACAGTAAGCCTGAGTTAAATGGGAATGGTGTCATTGACACCTGTGCCATATTTCAACACAAAAGCTGCATAACAAAGTAGGCAATTAACATCCCACATTGTCATGGGCTGGGCTGTAAGGCTAGATAAAGAACAAAAGAAGTTTTGATCTGTTTGCACCTCAAGATTTAGAAACAGACTTTTCTGGGGCTTTTTCTTTTTTACCTGAAATGTTCAACCAATGGTTGGTCCATAAATGATCGTGGGCAGCGGAAGGCAACCACCCCTCGAGACAGCAACCGACCAGTCACATCCGGGTGCAGATTTTTACCTGTGAGGTCTAAGGTCTGCCATAGAGACTCATCAAACCTAGAAAAGAGGAGGTGTTTGATTTGCTCAGTTGGTCACACTGAATGCTAGAGCCTCTCAACAACATTGCTAATGAGGACACAGCTGCTAAATCCTCTTAAGGCAAATTGTGAAGGAACCTTTGTTTTTAAGCTGACTAGTAATTAGCTGTGAAATTTTTAAGGCACTATTGACTATTTCTTGGTCATATTAGAGAAAGCTTCCATCTTTGTCTTTCTATATAGAGAATTAGAGAAATTTTTCAGGCCCTATTGACTATTGCTTGGTCATATTAGAGAAAGCTTCCATCTTTCTCTTTCTGTATATTTCCAATTTAGAAGGTTCAATGCTAACATTTGCACTGTGATGATTTTGACCCAGAGAATAATACGCCAGCATTCGATTCAATTTGACAAACTTAAAAATAATTGTTCAAATTACTTAATTGATTATTACTAGGTGACTAGGTTGAAAACTTCTTAAATGATACCACTTGCTGCTTTTGTTATGCACAAACAGGTTACCATAATTACCTAATATGTAAATACTACGCAAGGAAGGAAAGTTAGCACTATTTTATTATAAGATATGGCTGTCATAGATATCTACTAGGAAAAAGTATCAGCTGTGGTTCCTAATACCTTTTAAGCTTAAAACTGAGAGTACTCAGTGTGTGTATATGTGTATGTATGTGTGACGTGTGTGTATGAACTAATGTGAGAGGAAATGGTGAAAATTTATTGGATTATGGATAGTGTTTCAAAAGCAAATGGAGGATCCAAAAATGTGTTGAACAGCACAATAAGGGAGCTTAAATATCCATAGTTGAACTCATTTAAATAAAAGAAAACATGGAGTACAAGCATATGAGGGAACAGTTTAAATGCTTAGGTATACTAAAATTTTCCTTTTAAATAGTTCTTAAAAATAAGTGGACCACTGGCCAGGGTTATAAAATAATTATGTCACAAAGAAATTGTCAATGTGTGACTCGACCCCTATTATTTAAAAAGTAGACTGTAAATAAGAGATCCTTAAAAGAGTGGCATGCTTTTATATCTTTCTCTTGCCCAGACTAAAAATCCATTTTTGGCCTCCAATGATTTAATACCAGGTCAGCATTGCTCTGGTCTCAAATCTCATGCCAGATGTTTCCTCTTGCAAGGAGGTAAACTATAGCCTAACCAGCATTCAGTAATAGTCTGGGAAAGTTTTTGGAATACTCTCTTCTCAAATAACACAGATCTTTAGGAAGATGAATATATCACAGGAGGATGGACTCAGGAGCTACCTGAACCCTAAACCAAACATAACTAGGTACAGCGCTTACAGTTAAGGCTGTGGAGTTAGCCAGACTTTAGATTCCCACTTGAGTACTTATCTCTCAAACTACTGTTCCTGACCCTGTAGTCTCCTCATCTCTAAAACTGAGATGACACGAACATAGTCACTTAAGGTCATATGGGGGATTAAGCTGTAAACACTGTGCCTGGCACACAGCAAGTGCTTGATAAACGTCAGCTATTACTTTTACGACAACTGGAGGAGACAGATGTAGGACAAAAGATATAAAACAGCAGATATGTAGGATGAACAAGTCTCAAGATTTAATGTACAACATGAGAAGAATAATACTGTATTGCATTCAGGATTTTTGCTAAAAGCGTAGATTTTAGGGGCTTTTGCCACACACAAAAAATGGATAACTATATGAGATAATGGATATGTTAATTTGCTTGATTATAGAAACCATTTCACTTATATACATCAAAACATCCTATTGTATACCTTAAATACATACAATAGAATTTTAAAAAAGGATGAGTAGATTCTGCATGCAGAGGACTCAGGGACAGCTGGTGGAAAGAGAAAATCAAAATGGGGTTCCTTGGGTGGGGTAAGTGAAATGCATCACCATCTCCAGTGTGCAAATCTCTCTGCAGCTCCTCCAAGCAAACAGCCCACTTTATAAATACCACCACCCTGGAAGGCAAGAGGGTCCTGCTGCCTCACAAAGAGAGTTCCAGATATGTGGAAGGAGAAGCCAGATAGATGGCCTTTAAACATAAAGCAAAGGACAACCGGGGATAGGATGGGGATGAAGAGGGTAAAAAGTTCCAGTTAAAAATACAGTCTTTTTCTCACTTCAGGCCCGTTATTGCCTTCCTAGCTCACCAAGCTTTCCATGTGCAGCTCACCTTCCACACCCAAAAAGTGCTACCAAAAACCAGCAAAAACATTGCCAAGGGCTGCCCAGTGCCGAACACATCCGTGAGTGAGGCACTGCACCAGCATCTTTACATTCATCCTTGTAACTGCCCTGTACTGGAGGTACCATCATCCCCATTTTACATTCAGGGAGACTGAGGCTCAGAAGCATCAGTTAACTTTCTCAGGTCGTGTAGAGTGTATGTGGCAGAAGCTGGGTTCTGGCGAATGTTCTCTCTCCCCACCATGCTCCCTGCCCAGCCCACTGGTGAGAGGAACAGCTGTCCTCAGGCACCTCCATAACTCCCTCCTCTCTCGGCACATGGCCTGGCCTGGTCCCCATCCAAGAAGCATGTGTAATACAGGACAAAGAGGTTTTCAGAAATGGGTAAGTTCACCACCTCCAGAAGACTCCTCTTCTTCCACTGTGAAATGAGGACACTCACTAGTAATAAAAGCAGGAAGACACCCAGTTTGCTTTGTGCTGCTACTTTTTCTTAGTTTTTAGTATGACCAGAACAAAATGAGTAACCTCTTCCTCTTTTCTTCCTCCCCTACATATGCCAAAGGAGTGCAAAATACTTACGCTAGGCGATACCACCTCTTACAAACACTGGAGACCTTTAGCAGCTCAGGGAGGCATAGACAGGAAAAGATGCCCAAAAGCAGCTCGTCCGGAAGGGAATCCCATGAAACACCTTTGGGGAGGAAAAACATGGTTGCCATCACCATTCTCTCACCCTCTCCCACTCACTGAGGCTTTTTCCAAGCATGTAAAGCAGGGGTCCCCAACCTATGGTGAGTTGTATAATTATTTCATTATATATTGTAATGTAATAAATAAGAGAACTAAAGTACACAATAAATGTGATGTGCTTTAATCATCCCAAAACCATCCCCCCACCCAACGCCCCCTCCCCGGTCAGTGGAAAAATTATCTTCCATGAAGACAGTCCCTAGTGATAAAAAGGTTGGGGGACCACTGACATAAAGGATACACAACCTTTAGCTTGAAGGGGGAATTTAACACTAATTGAGTTACTCATCCTCTCAATGATTTTTCTACCCAACCCACTGTCTATGTACCTTGAAGCAAGCACCACACTTTTCCAGCAAATGAGAAAGGAGAAAACCAAGAATATTTTTCACATCCCTCTTCCTTTCCGCTCCAGCGGTCAATCACAGGCAATGACGATAGCAGCAGCAGCACAGAGCAAGTCAAGTGTCCTACAATGATGTCTAAGACGCTCTGATGCTTCTGGTTGCTAAGGAAGGCTTCATTTCTCTCTGATGTGGACTCCGTGGTGCCCTTATTTTAAAAGGCAAATGAAGCTTCTTCCCTCTTCTTTTGGATGTGCAGAAAGCACACTGAAGTCAGTTTACCGGAAATAACGATATCAGAAGGGTACTCTCATTTCTTAATTCAACAAATATTTACTGAGCTCCCACTATGGTGCTAGGTATCATGTGAGGTGTTCGGGAAAGAGCAGCAAATGAGACAGACAAAACACTTTACCTTCATGGAACTTACGTTCCAGTGAGGGGGAAGAGACAATCACACATAAAACATTAAGTAAATTGTATTATATGTTAAAATTGATTAGCACTATGCAAAGATGAAACAGAGCAGAGGAGAGGATGGAGAGTCCAGAGGCGAATGTTACAAATCTGAACACAGTGGTCAGGGAAGGCCTTCCTGAGACAGCCATCACTGAGCAAAGGCTCGGACAAAGCAAGGGAGTGAGTGCTGTGAGTATGTGGGGCGTGTTCCAGGGGCCGAGAACAGCATGTTTTGAGGTATGGCATGTCTGTTTTGAGGTGTTGGCAAGGAGGCCCGTGCAGAAGAACAGAGTGAGCAAGAGGGATGGTAGAAGATGAAATGAGAGAGGTGAGAGCGCTGGGTCACACAGGCTTCCTAAGTCATGAGGCCTCTGGCTTTGACTCTGAGTTCGATGAGCAGCCACTGGAGGGGTCTCAGTATAGAAATGACAGGCTCCCACTGACATTTTAAAAGGATCATTCTGGCTACTGTGTTCAGAATAGGAAAAAGGTGAAAGACCAATTTTCTTTGTCTTATAAAAGCAATCTCCAAATAGGTATGAAACAAGAATTAAACTCTTTGGTAAGAATATATAGTATAAGCCCACAAGATGAGGATAATATGACAATGGCCAAGAAGGAAATGAAGTATGCACCAAATACTGAAAGAGTGGTTAGATGAGTCCACTGACAGCCTTTCTAGTGTCTCTCTCTCTCCATTTGATATTCCACACCAGCTCTAATGCTATCCTCTACCCCATGCCCATTTCAAAGGTACCGGTATTTACTGAGCATGTACTCTGCGCCAGGCCCTGTGTAAGTGGGCTTGAGGACATGGTGGAGAAGCGCACCAAGGAGGGTGACAAACATCACAGCTGTTGCCCCGGGTAGTCTTTCTGAACAATCACGCCCTTCCCCCAATTAGAACCCTTCAATGGTACTACCCAGATATTTAGCCCCAAGGCCACACAATTTAGCACAAAGTTCAAAGCTTTCTGCCAGGGCCCAGCTTGTTTTTCTAGGTTTCTAATCTAGAAATGTATTCCAGCCATTTGGAGCTACCTGTAATACTTAGGATGAGTCATTGTGTGTCACATCTCAATGAGTCAATACATGCTGTGCCCTCCCCCACTGCTATTCATTTCAAATCAAACCGCTGTTAAAGCCCCAATTCCTATGGAAGGCTTCCCATGACATCACCAAAGACAGGCTACTTATGTACCATAATTTTATTATTTACTTACTCATCTGTCAAGACCCCCCACTAAGCCACAAGTTCTTGAGAACAAGGACCTGATTTTATTTATTTTTTTACCTATTTCTAGGAACTAGCACAAAATCTGATACAGTCATTCATTCATCTATTTATTAAACTGTACTATACGCTGAGGTCTGTTCTAGCATCTAGGGATACAGAGATAAACAAGGCATGGCCCTGACCCTTATTCTGCTCAGAGTTTGAGAGACACAGACAAATAAGCAGGAAATTTCAATGAACCATCAAGATGGGCTGCAATAGGCTTCAGGGTATTGTGCAGCATGTGGGAGTGGAGCAGTGGTCAAGGAGGCCTTCCTGGAGGAAGTTATCTATATGGGAGAATGAGTAGTAGATATGTACTTGCTCAATTAATGTCTACCCCTCATCTCTCTAGGGGACAAAATTAAAGGACTGACTGTGGTCCTAAAAGCTAGGGGTAGAGAAATGAAGGCAGATCATCCATACTGACCCAGGACCACAACCCAGGGAGGCAGCTGGAGGTCATGCTGAAGCTCCTCAATGTGACAACCATTCTGTCACCACCACTAACTTCCCCCAAAATCAACATGGGCAGAGGACAAAGGTTCTCAAACCAAGCTCCTGCCTTGCTCCCAAAATTGGAAACAAGTTGAAAGATATGCTTTTCTCAAATTTTTCTACCCTCAGTCTAACTCTCTGACTTCTGCTGCCTCTTGCATATGTAGAATGTTCTAATATTTGATCTGGCAAACAATTGCATACTTAATTATTGCAAATCTAATATGTTGAGACTTTACTATGATCTGCAAAGACCATCCTGATACCAGGAGCATGGCCTCCGTAACAAGCCTGAGAACCATGGAACTGAGAAGAAAAGCACAGCTTTCATCGGAATCCTGGCTGTGTTGCCTCCAAGTCTGTGAATTTGGGCAAGTTATTTAAACTCTCCAGGCCTCAGTTTTTTCTTCTGTAGGAATGGGAATAAGAAGGCTTATTTTGAAAGTTGGTCAATGTTAACATTAAATGATGAATAAGAAGAAAAGATTAAACAACACAGCAGAAAGTCAGCTCTCTTTTTTGTCTCTACTCCTCTCCTTCCCCCATTAAGTCTATACATCTTCCTCTTGTAAGGACCTTTTCTTTTCAATGATGCTCTGAATTTTCACCTACAGGCAAACATCCAAGGTCTGAGCAGAGTTTGGCAAACAAGGGCTGCATGGCATGATTTACCAAAACCCTCTCTTAAGTTTGGGTTTCCCAGAAACAGGTCCTAAGGATCTGATTTCAAGTAGTATATTTGGAAAGTGATGCCATGGAAGCATCGTGGAAAAAAGTGGAGGAGATATGGAAGGGAAGGAAGACAACTTGGGTTATGTTAATAAGCAGGTTAATGCTTATTCAAATCTTCTGGGGACACCAGCAGACCATCTTGAACCCGCCCCAGAGTTGTCTCACCTGAGGGCATGGATGCTGGGGTATTAATCCACCAATTGCTGTTAGTCACTGACTGGGGGCTCAATGTTAACTCCCCAGCATTCCTGAGCAGAGAAAGCTCTCAAGCATGGAATCACATCTGTGTACAAGGGAAAGCCTTTGGTATGTAAGGAAATTGTGAGCTTCAAGGGGCTACAGATAGCACCGACAGTGTCCACTAAAAATTGCTGGGGAAAGGAAACTGGAAAAGCATGCCGTGACATGCAGAGCAGGAGAGACAAATAAATGTAAAAACTTGGTGCTTCCTATTTTATTGGGCAGACATAAGAAATCAGGAACAATCAGAGTAATAGGACACAGGTAATTAAAGTGGTAGGAGGAAAATTTGGCATAGAAATGAATGCAGCAGCCAGCAGATCTAGGCAACATAGAAGACAAAAAAACAGTCCAGAGTTAGGAGGGCTTTGTGCTGCAACTTCTGTTGTCTCTTGCCCAACTCCTACTTGTCCTCCAGATTTCAGCTTAAATGGTACTAGCTTTAAGAAGCATTCCCAGCAGGACACCACCAAAGCCCTGTGCCCAGATTTGCACAACTAGTACCTAATACAATTCCTGGCACATAATAGGACTTGATGCATTATATACCCTTTACTCCCTCTTCATGCAAACAGTGAATGTGCTAATAAGGACTAGTTAATTCTTATTAACCAATTAACTACTACATGCTTAGTTCAGAAGATAGTGCCTGCACTGAATACAAGAAAGTGCTCAACTGATATTTCACAAAGGAATGACTATCACTCCTTATTTTATAAACAGGCAAGACTTTTGGCCTCTTAGAACCAGTTTCCTCATTTGTAAAATGACAAGGATGGCCTATGACTCCACTTTGGGAAAACATTTCATGGGTGCCTTACTAATGCACTAGTGCTGGGAGTTGGTTATAAGCCAGCCACAGCCCTTGCCTGATAGCCTCCCTGAGATATGAACTAGTAAACAAACATACAATCTAACAATTAAGACTGCCATTTACTGGAAACCTTAAAAAGCCTCAGGCATTCATTGAAACACATTCATTCTAATCTTTGCAGCATCCTGTGTGCTAAGTATTTTATCATCATGCCCTCTTTCTACCCTAGCATGCTGGAAGACTCTATGCTCTCTTCTGTTCTGAGTACTTGATTATTCTACAAGTTTAGAAAAGCTGAGAATTAATTAAGTCTGACTTGCTATGGGAGAAGAAATTAATTAGGGCTAGGGAGTGAGCAGTAGGGGAAGAGGAAATAAAATAAAGATGCTGAGAGACATCAATGGGTTTACCACGAATGGAAGGAGCAATGAGCACGAAAATGTACAACCTCAGCTAGCAGCCAAGTTCCCCAGGCTCACTTAGGTGGCTACAGGATGACACTGATTCTAGGACTCTTAGGTGGGCTGCTGTCCTAGCAGATTGGGCAGGAGTTTGTCTTCAATAGTTGCTCTAGTAAC